ACGTAAAGCAGTGAGAACTGGTTTTCAGTTAATTTACCTGGTAAAATAAAGTTTAAATAAATGGCATAAATGCTCTAATAGTACACGTGAGTTAGTGTATTTATTGTTAGTTTCTGTAATGTTGCTCTGTTTTATTTGGTTAATCGTCCAGTCTCTGAAGAAGGCATTCAAGTAAGAATTGCATTGTAATACAGTATGACTCATTTCCTGGCGCGTACAATTTATATTAGGTCAGCGTTCACGGTTCGACTTCTGATATTCAGATCGAGTTTTAGGTCAAACTGGTTTGTTCGACTTTCAAGAAATTCGAGTTCTAGTGAGTTCGAGAACCGAGGTACCACTGTATTACTAAATTTACAAATTATAGCCTGAAGTTTATAAATGAGAATAATTTTATCTTCTGTTCTTTGATCACTCTAATGTTCTGATCACTTCTTACATTGACATACAGAGTTTTGAAGTATAAATGAAAATAAAACTGGATCACAGCTGAATGTATATTTTATCATACTTTTGGATTTCTTTAAAGCCAGATATTCTTACCCCATTTTCATCGCCTTAGCAGATGAGAGGAGCAGGTAGAACAGTGAGCATTTAATGTGTTTTCATTGTGTATTTTAAACAAATGATATAATTTGCCTAAATTTCTCTTACTATGTTACAGATTGCATGATGGATCTTTTTACTCAAAGGAAGTCATCCATCACTGCTTAATCACAACTGGGGTCATGGGGGGGGCAGATCCTATGTGGTGGGGTGCAGGTGGAAACCAACCCTGGGCAGTCACACGCACAATATTACGGGGCCGATTTAGACTCGCTAATCAGTCCGTTTCCGGACCATGGGAGGAAACCGGAAAGTACCTGGGATTGAATGCAGGACTTTCTTCTCAGAAGCCAGCAGCACTAACCACCACACCACCGTGTTGCCCCTCAAAGGAAGCCATCAGATTCATTGCCAATCTCTTCATTCAGGCAGCAGAGTGTGACAGAGAGACAGGAGAGAAGAAACTGCAGCTCCTCTCATCAGTCTGCAGTTATTCCTCTTTCCCTGCTTTGGAAGCCAGAACATTATCTTTAAAAACACAGAGTGACTTTCTGCTGGATCTGTATTCATTTTTGACAGACTGTGAGAATCCATCACGTAAGCATGTTCTGCAGGC